ACAAGACAATCACGAAGTGGAATACCAATTATCATTGAAAATGGATAAAAGAGTAAGCCAAGTAAAAATTGAAAATTTATTTCTGGATGATGAATAAGGCTAAACAACCATGATATAGTTACATCAGCAAAATGAAGAACACTAATAAATGCTACTAAATTTGCAATTAAATAACCACAAATTTTTAAAGTATGTCCTGCTCCTGTTAATAAAGCATCAATGACATTATGTTGTTCTCTAAATAAAAACTATATTTAAGTATTTTCAACAAAAAATGTAAAATTTTCATTCATCTTAATTTTTGACTATAAAAATTGCTTTCTAATCGATGTCTAATTCTACTTGTTTATTAAAGTAGGTGGTAAAGAGAGAGGTTCATTCGTTTTGTATTAGACGAAGGATGATCTCTAGTATGAAACGGCATATTCGTTCAATTGCTATTTATGCACTAGTCAGAAAGTCAATTTCTTTTCTTTTCAAAACTTGTGGAAAATGCAATGGAAATTTCTTCAATTTGGGCTTTTACTTTACCGGAAAAAATCAATGTCCTGGCTAAGACATAACTCTCTTGACTGACTTTATTGATTATGTAAACAATTATATCGACTCTGGCATGAATACATCGGAAAGAGTTTGAATTCTTAGCTTATTACTATCGAAATTTCGCATGTCTACAGTATTTTTAAGCCAGTATCGTAGTCCTATTGAAAACATTAGGAAAATTCATTTTTGAATGTCCATTACAGACTTCGCATAGAGACAGACCTCAATGAAAATGGGTTGTTATGGAAGTTTCAGGTCTTTTCTTTGTTTTTATTTTACGATGTGACATAAAAAATTGAAAGAGATCAGGGCACTGATTTAAAAAATCCATGTAAGTGTGGTATCGCTGTATCAATAAGGTAAACATCTAAATTCTTTTCAGAACGTGTGGGTATGGGCATATTTCATCTTACGTCACACTAACATCTACATCCACATCCACACTCTTATTTAAAAACTCATCATTTATGGAAACTATTTGATTGTCCGTAACATTAGAGATCTTTTTTTTGATGACATATTGACTGTGTAGAGCTAGTTTGTTTTTAGTAATTAAAACATACAGTAATGGCGCATTTTTCACTATATCCCATGTTGTTTTTGAATGATGTGTTTCTGGTAATAAAAGTTTTGCAAATCCCAGTGCACCGGGTGCTGCCATAACACTAGCAGCAATTAAATGATTTGCTGGAACACCAAAGAAAATAAATGTAGCAAGAATCGATCCTAATATGATTCAAAATATATAACAAAAAAAAACCAAGACCGAATATAAATTTATTTTAAAACCTGACATTGTTGAAAAGCCACCAACTAATACAGCATGAAGTTCTGATGTTGTCATTTTAGGTATGAAAGGCATAATCATTAATGGTGCTTCACTCATTCCAACAAATATATTTGCAGCTGCATTCATCGACTAGATTATTAAAAATTTTTCCTTTTTTTTTTTTTTTATAAAATTATGAATAAGTACTTCAGCTGCTGTCGTATTCAAACATTTTTGCATAAGCCATGCAATTTTTCCGATAACATATTGCATAGCACCCAAATAATAAAGAACATTAATTACAGATCCAAGAAAAATAATTATTGAAGATACCTAATATACAAAAAAACACACATAGAAATCTTTATAAAATATTTTATTCATATAAGATATATACTTTAAATACGAAAAAATGTTCTTGATAAGTTTTTCCAAAGACAAAAATTGCTCCACTATGAGCATTACTAAATAAAAAATAAATGCTTTATTCATCGAAGATTATCTTGAAGAATAAATTACTGCATAAATTTTGATACTTCTTTTCCAAGAAATTCGAATAATTGAAAACCAAATTCAAGACGAATAACAACAGCAGCCAAGAGAAATTGAATAACAAATGAATAAAATACGGTTTTCCATCGAATCTAAATTCTCATGATGTTATATTATACATATCAATATTTAAATTGACGACCGACATTGTTTTCCTACCTACTCGATGAGGATGTTTTGAACCTAACGAAATAAAAGAACTCATAGTTCAAATTCTTTGATTATTAAAAATAAATTTAAATACCAATGGTACCAAGTAAAATCAATGTAACAATACCAATAAGTGAAATATAATTTCGAGTTCTTTCTACTGTTAATCCAACGTAAAGAGCGATAGCAATAAAAACTAAACAGTGCCAAATCCTATCGATAAAATTATCAACATTTAATGAAGAAAATTTACAAGAAGTGCTTCGTATTTTCGATAAAAATAGTTATGCTTCTATTTTTAAAAAACTGACTAAATGGATCGAATAAAAATGAATCAACTTGCGGAAAAGTTGAATCAAACTACTGATGATGAACTCGTTTGGATATGAGCCGGCCTTAGAGACTGGCTCTTTCCACATGAACAAATCTGATGATTGACTACGTATATGCGAACTGGGTTATTGAGCACACCATTTATTATGTTCAAATAGTTTTTCAGAGCTTCATTTTAGGTCACATAAATTAAAAGGTGACTGTCACAAATATATTGGAAAGGATAAGATTAGGTTTACAGATATCTCAGCTCATATGAACAGAGCTCGATAGTCGATACTAGGTCAGTTGGTTCATAGAAAATTGTCACAAACCTAGTAAAGTACATAAACTATTTTTCCTTAAAATAAATGAATGATGCAGTTACGCATCCACACTCTAAGTCGCTCATTTGTTCACGCTATTGTCAGTTTTTTTGCCACTATTGGCGAATATCGCTGGTTAATTGTTGTTATAGCATCTATTATATCGAACG